CGTTAGAAAGCCACGCAAAATCGCACAATCATGCTTTCGTAGTTGCACATCGACAACCAGCCGCCGAAGCCGCACATCCTATTGGTAGGGGTAGTTGGTGAGCAGGTGTCTACAACACGCCTGCAGAGGTGGTCAACGTCTGACTACAAGATCCATTGTGGCTGGGTTAGTAGGTCGCCAAGGGAGTCCTTGGTCGTGGAGTCGGAGTAGCACCTCCACTACCTCCTCCAATCCCTTTTTTCTCGGTGATTTTTTACTCCACATACAGTCAGCCAAGTGTATTAATTTTCATACATAGTTGCAGAAGGACTAAATAAGCATTGGCATGCTCAACTTTCTCAGTTGCTCAACGTTGCCATCTTCAAGTTTTTTAGAATTGTCCCAAGAGTATGTAACGACTTGGCATCCTCAGGCTTTCTAGTTGCAGAATAGTATCTAATTAGTTGGCAACCTCAGTAATTCTAGTTGCACAACAATATACAACTAGTTGACATCCTCAGCTTCTCTAGTTGCACAAGAACTCAGATTAGTCCCATCTTAAAAAAATTGAGGATTGCCCAAGAGTATGTAACGACATGGCATCCTCAGGCTTTCTAGTTGCAGAATAGTATCTAATTAGTTGGCAACCTCGGTAATTCTAGTTGCACAACAATATACAACTAGTTGACATCCTCAGCTTCTCTAGTTGCATAAGAACTCGGATTAGTCCCATCTAAAAAAAATTGAGGATTGCCCAACAGTATCTAACGACTTGGCACCCTCATGTTTTCTAGTTGCAGAAGAGTATCTATTTAGTTGGCACCCTCTGGAATTCTCATTGGACAACATTATCCAAGTAGTTGACATCTTCAGCCTCTCTAGTTGCACAAGAATTCAGATTAATCCCATCTTAATTTTTTTGAGGATTGCCCAATAGTATCTAATGACTTGGCACCCTCAGGCTTTCTAGTTGCAGAAGAGTATCTATTTAGTTGGCACCCTCTGTAATTTTAGTTGGACAACATTATCCAAGTAGTAGTTGACATCTTCAGCCTCTCTAATTGCACAAGAATATCTCATTAGTTGGCATCATCAGCATTTCTAGTCGCACAAGAATATCTGATTATTTGGCATCATCAGCATTTCTAGTCGCACCAGAATATCTCATTAGTTGTCATCACCAGCATTTCTAGTTCCAGAACAAACAGGATATCAAATTGCCATCCTCAACTTTTTAATCTAGTTTTCCAGAGAACAAATATTTGTATGTAATGATAATTAATCACCTCTACCTTTTCTAGAGAACAAACAGGATAGTCACAAGTTATTTTTTCTGTATTCTCAAAATGTGTTACAAACAAGATGTTTTGCAATGCAGAACCCTAAGTAGTTGCACACTAGTTTCACAATGTATTTGACACACCATTTTTTTACTTCTTTTAACTTACTAATTTTCACAATCCGTTTACAATATTTTTTGGCACTTCTTTTGCACAGAGTGGTTATGTATGTTGCACAGTTTGCAGTAAATAGGTTGCACAGATACAAAACAGGAGATTTGTTCAGTGTTTTTCTCACAAATTTGTTGTTCTAATGATGTGCAGGTTTATTTGTCAAGGACCTGACGTAGATTCTTATACACTGCTATTTGGACGAAGAAAGAAGATTCAGATGGCAGAAAATAGTTTTCATCTTTTTCTGTTTTTTCTTTAGTATATTGAACATATTTTCCCTACTGCATTTTCTGTGTGACAAGACTATGTACGCTTGATGTTACTATGTTTTGTGCTTTATTAGTCTGCTTTGTTTTTGTTGCACAGATTGCAGCAAAAGTTGGCATGGATCCATGTGTGGTTGCACAAATATCATTTCTTTTGCACAGACACTACATGCAGTTTTATTGTTCTATCTGCAACTACACATTGTGTTTATTTGCACATATCCAGGTAAAAGTTGGCTTACATTCATGTTTAGTTACACAAATAGATGGTTTTTTTTTGCACAGGCACTACATCATGTCTATTTTTGCATATGCAACTACTCCTTTTTTTATATGCACACATCCAAGCAAAAGTTGGCTTGGATTCATGTTTAGTTGCACAAATAGATGGTTTTTTTGCACAGGCACTTCACCCTGTCTATTTTTGCATAATGGTAGATTTATTTGCACGCATCCAGGCAAAAGTTGGCTTGGATCCATGTTTAGTTGCACAGGAAAGTGTTCTATTGTGCAGAGATCATATTCAACTCTATTTGCTGCTTCATGTTCCTTCTTCCTTCAACTATGGAGAAGATCGGAGAAGATTTGTGGCAGATCCAGAGGGAAAGGGAAGGGGAAAGTGAAGAAGGATGATCTGGAGGCTAGAGGAAAGTTACCTGATGCTGCTACCTGCTATGGATTTGTACTCCCTCTTCTTAGAATTGAATCTTTTCTGGCCAATTTCTTCACCTAGTTTTGCTCTGCCATGGCAGCTCTGTAGGGTTTGGATCTAGGCCTGGGATACACTTCTTTCGTGAAGAATCAAAAGGGCGACCCGTGGGGGGGAGGAAGTGTGGGCGAGCTGTGCGTGGGAGGCGTGGGGATGTGGTTATCACGTGACAACGATGGGGGAGATTTTCTATTTGTTGGGAGCATGGGCAGTCGGGTAGGAAGGAACTTTCCTTCCTGGGACCAAGGGGGACAGGAAGTTGCCTTTTATGGCTGGCCGCTCCATCGCGCTAGTGGGCAGCCGGCCGCCCACTACACTCCCTTTATTTTGGCGAGATATTATTTTCCCCGCAGAACTTTTTTTCTGTTAGCGGGTTCCCGCAGAAAATGAGACCTCCCAAAAGCCGATAGCACATTGTTCGGACGCTCTATGGGCTTCTCCCTGGATCTTTAACTGGGCTGGGAGGTGGTGGAATAATCTGTAACTGGGCTTTCCCTGAAAGAACATCTGTCACTGGGCTCGAATGTTGTGGAGGCTGATTTGTTTTTCGTGCGCTCTGATTTCTCAAAAAAAAAAGTTTTTCGTGCGCTCTGGAAAACCTTTCCATTGCCAAGTTCTACGTTTTTGCCAAGTTTTTATGGCTGACACTCGCATTCTTTTTGTTTGCTAACCTCCTGATAAAAAGCACTCGGTAAAACTTCGGGCACTAGGGAATTTCTTTTGGCGGTTCCAGTAAGGCCCTTGGTGTGATGGTCTTGCAATACTACTCCGTTTGCAATTTTAGCGAACGTAACAAAAGAGGTGATTGGTAATTAGCGAAGCGTAGTCTTTTTGCTGTTACGAAAATAGAGCAGTTTACTTATTCATAATTCATCGAGGATACAACATTTTAACACTACATCAAAGATGTGTTAAAAAAAATACACTACATCAAAGGCACCACCACGCATACACATAAGGTTCTTCAAATAAGCAAGAGAACACTACATTAAGGCACCACCGGCCGGCGGCGAGCGGCGGCGTCATGCATCTGACCAGGTGATGCCGTACTCACCAACCTCCTCGCCGGTGATGCCGAGTGCGTCCCACACCGCCTGGGACGCATCGACGACGTTGTTGCGGCACGGCGGCTGGAAGGCGTGCTCGTCATCACACCCGTTCAGGGAGTCGCACTCGTCGACGACCTTGGCGAGCACGGACCTGCCGTTGGCTCGGATCCAGATGCGGTCGCCGCAGCGGGAGCCCCCGGCGTACCACCCCGTGGACAGCGCCACCACGCGCTCCGAGTTGGGGTGGAAGACTTCGTCGCACGCCGACGGGTCCCCGCCGTCGCCGCCCTCGTCGAAGTCGTTGAGCGTCATGATGGCCCTGGTGGCGCCGGCGACAACCGGCGGCGAGCACCGGTACGTCGGGTACGCCTTCCCTGCCTCGCAGCAGTCCTCGCACGAGTGGCCCTCGCTCGGCCGGAGCGTGCCGCTCCGCCTGCACTCCTGCGCGCCCACGGTGGCCGCGAGTGCCAGTGCCAGGACGACGAGGCAGCTCATGGTCATCTTCTTGTGAGCATTCGATGGAGGCATCGATCGGGTTGTGTTGACTCGTCGATCGTGAGAGAAAGATTGCACCAATGGTTAGCATTATATAGCTAGGATAGGATGCGTGTGTTCGTGTTCTTGCTTGTTTGGGGTGGCATTGCCAACATAAAATGCAACAAAGTCAAACTGACGTGGTGATGGGGAGAGGACACCACACTGATGGGAATGTGACCCAAAAATTAGTGTACTATAGGCTAGGCGTGTCGTTATGGTACGGGCTAATTCAATGCGACGACGTATGAGATAATTCTATAATTTTTTGGATACTCGTTGAATCTGAACTGTAGATGTTTGGTTCGTCAAGAGCGAACAAATATGAACTTGCTTGTATGTTGGGGCAACACATGTAAAACTGGGATTCGTATAAAATCATGTACTGGCTAGCATTCCTTTGTACTAGTTTGACTTCTAAATTTTATTTTTATTTTGTTATTGTTATGCCACATCTCACTCGCTAATTATGTAATACTCCTATGTGATAAAGATTTGCCCTAGCTACCTCCATCTTTCTTTTTTGAAGTAAGACACCAAAAGGCATCTTGGATTTGATAGTTATCAAGAAAAACAATAGCTAGTACAATGAAAGGACAACTGAAATAGAACTGTCCGTTAAAAAACTAAAATTGCATTAAAAATCATACTAGTCGTCCTCTTTTTTGTTCGATTGTATGCCGCCTGTCGGAGATTAAAAATTACACTGAACTAACGGTAAGGAAAAGGGATACATGTGAATGTCATCACCATGCCATGCTTTAAAGACCGCAATAGCCACTTGCCGCTTCAGACGATATCTAGAAATCATTGAAGAAACAACGGTTATATCATTACTCCACACAGTACAAGCTTGCAATCCATCACCACCGGTCTAGAGAGTTAGAGAAACCAAACCATACTGCAAAACAACACGAAATAAGACATTGAAGGCGTTGCATGAATAGCCAATCTATTGCTCTCTTGATAAACACGCCAACTACCAAGATTCGGAGAGAGCCAAACAAATATGATGGCAAAAACTCTTACATGCCCTTCGTCTGCACCAGATTGGACGTCGTCGAGGTAAGAAGTTAGAAAGACCTTATTCCAACACACCCTCACCGCCATTACCTCGTCGATGCCACTAAGGAAACAAAACCTAAAGAAAATAAAAATGAAATGGCGGGTCCCCACTCCTCTTGCCGCTGACGTGGCCTCTGGGCGAGAGGAGTGGGACCGGCATGGGATTGGGATGAGGACTTTCATGCCATACGTGGCCTCATGGCTTCTGGTTTTTCTTTTGCCTTAGCTCCATCTTGATATAGAATATCTGGTGGACACAAGTTACAAGGAGAACTTTGAATTCTAAAAAGGTATTGGAGATGGTTTCGCTGCAAAGATAAGAGGTTGGTGTGAGTTTTGTGCTGCACTTGTCTGCTTCCCTATCTCTCTGGTGCCTTGATTTGGATGGCTTAGTCATGGAGGCAGTGCATGGCAGCGGGTAACGGGGATTGATCATGGTGGTGTGACATTGCAGAGTGGTACGTTGTGGTGCCGATGTTGTTGGTCAGCGGGCCAAGGTCCGGTTGAGCTTGTGGCGGCATATCGTGACCATGGAGTTGTGATGAAGATTAATGGTCTATTGTCTAGGGCTGATGGCCATGGCCAGAATTACCATCCATGTACACTTGTGATGGACATGTGGTATTGCCAGAGCATCTCCAATGTGAGATTTTGGCGGTACAATCCTCTCTTGCCGGTGCTCTGCGACTTGTGTCACACATATGCCGACGAATGTTGTTGGCTACACATACAATTCTTTGGCGGATGGACTACTTTCTTAGGGTGTGCACGGGTTTCAGTCGCATGGTTGTGTCCACATATGGATCACGTACACTTGCATCATCTTAGTTTAGTCAGGATCTGCGTCACCATTACTCGATTTTCTTTTTCTTTTGGACTTAACAATAAAATGACTTTTCTTTGTGATAAAAGATATCTTACTGGATCTCACTTATTAGCCTAACATGACTGGTGTGGATTGGAGGCCCATTTATCAGCAAACAATGATGGCCAATCAAGGGTGCACATTTTGGTCCCATTCGTCCTTTGTGAACTTTGGTCTTAAACCAACGCACGACCGACATCTCTATTTTCTTCACTCACTTTTAATCCCAACACACTCTACCGGGTGGCAAGGCCGGTTAGCTATCTTAATACCTACAATTAAAAAACACCCTTAGTGGTTATATGCATAAACAAAACCTAGTGACCAGTTTAACAAAACACATTTTAGTACAACCTTTTGTTTTTTTTCGATAAAAGGACATTTCATTGAATTGATATATCAAGGTGATACAATTGCATCTAAAGAATGCCCGGTCTCTGCATAACTCGATGCACACATCCAAGAAGTCCAACCGACTCAAAAAATAAAATGTTTTACAACTTAAAAACTTAAAAAGATAAATAAGTCCAGCCTATGATGTGGCAGATCCTATCCGGAGATCACACCGCCATCCATGGGGGGAGAAAACCTCCCTGGCCGTACGCTCCAGCCGCATAGACGCCATCATAAAAAGGTCTCTGTCCTCCGGCCTCTGCAGGATAGACCAAGTATGAAGCCATCACGTACATACATGAATAACCTGCATAGGAGATGAAACACATTTTTTTATATTAAAAACCACATCATTCCTGGTAAGTCACAATGCCCAGCATAAGGCAGCCGCCCCCATAAGAATATGTGTAGAAAATTGTTTATCAATACCCCTCAACCAATTGCCGAACATGTTACGAGCACTACGTGGTGGGTATAAATTTGAAGCTACTTGAACTATGGCCCAAACCGCCCGAGCGAACTTACACTCAAAAAATAAGTGCTTAATAGACTTGTCATGTTGGCAAAAGACACACGCCTTGGTGCCTTGCCAGTTGCGTCGTGCTAGGTTATCTCTAGTTAAGATGACCCCTGTGTTTAGGAACCAGAGGAATATCTTCACTTTTAAAGGGATTTTAAGCTTCCACAGTTTCCTGTTATCAACTGGAACATCACAATGAACCATTGCATCATACATGGATTTGACTGTAAACTTGCCATTCTGATGCAAATTCCATCGAAAGATGTCAAGTTCATTTGAGATCTGAATAGCCTCTAGACGTATGAGTAGCTCATTCCAAGCTGCCAGGCGAGGTCCTAATAGGTCCCTACGAAAAGAAATATCAGGGTTTTCTTGTCCCAAAACTTATTTGATGGTGACAAATTTATGTCTATCAATCCTATACAAACTCGGGTATTGCACCATGAGTGGTGTGGTCCCTAGCCAGGTGTCTTCCCAGAATCGAACCTGGGAACCGTCCCTAACCGAGAAAGTCCCAAATTGGAAAAAGAATTCCTTGGCCTTCATGACACCAGACCAAAAATGTGAGTCACCAGGTTTCCAATGAACTTGAGAAATGGCTTTGGATTCCATGTACTTATTACGAATGATTTCCTGCCATACTCCATTCTCAGTGAGTAGTTTATAAACCCATTTGCTGAGAAGAGCAATATTTTTAATCTCAAGGTCCTGAATTCCAAGTCCCCCTTGACTTTTAGGTCGACATAATACAGTCCACCTAGCCAGTCGATATTTCTTTGATTCATTATCGCACTGCCAAAAAAACTAGATCTAAAGTAATCAAGACGCTGAAGAACCCCTTTCAGTAGATGGAAGAATGACAACATATATAAAACCATGTTGCTTAGGACGAAATTGATCAAGATCAACCGCCCCCCATATGACAAGAGTTTGGCTTTCCAACTGGCTAGCCGTTTCTCAAGTCTCTCTTCCACGTGCTTCCACTCAGTGGTAGTTAAACGCCGATAGTGTATGAGAATACCCAGATACCGAAACGGGAACTGCCCGAGCTGGCATCCAAAAATGCCAGCATACTCAGGTGCATATTCTGCAGCATCCTCAAAGCAAAAAAGTTCGCTCTTATGAAAATTAATCTTAAGGCCAGAAAGTTCCTCAAATGCACATAAAAGTAGCTTGAGATTTCTTACTTTATCTAGATCATGATTCAAAAAAAGTATCGTGTCATCCGCATATTGTAGGATAGATAAACCCTCTTCTACCAAATGAGGAATGATGCCGCTAACCTGACCGGCCACCTTAGCCCGCTCAACAAGGGTAGCTAGCATGTCAGCCACAGTGTTAAACAAAATGGGTGATGCGGCGTCCTCTTGGCGAAGCCCCTTTCTTGTCTGAAAATAGTTGCCAACCTCATCGTTAACTTTGATGCACAGATAATTACATTACAAATAATTATGCATATAATATCGCATGGATGGGAATGGTAAACACGTACGTAAAAGATGCACCAAACCGGTTTACTGAGAAACCTTAAATTATTGTTTTTCCACAAGCTCGGTTTCCGAGCTTTACAATTTAAGTTCTCTTTATTTTCTATGCTAATCAAATACATTTTTTGTTAGTTACAACAATAAACACATAGGCAAAACCGACTTAATAAAATCGTCATATTCAAACAGCCCCTTAATATTGTCTCCAGGTCCTAGTCTAGATTGCCAATACCAGGTAAAATATTGTCTTTTTTCTAGAGAATAGAAAATATCATCTCAAATCACAAGTTGTCCCAAAACAGTCTAATCCTCTATTTAGTGTTTCGGTGGCGTTTTTTAGCACTTGCCTCAAATTTTTTCTAGTTATAGCGATTTATTTAGAAAAAGGGGAGGCTGTCACAACCAGCCGTCCCGTGCATTAGAGCCACGGTTTTCACACAAAGAAACGAAATGCAAATATTGGAAAGAAAAAGTCGAACTGGGGATTGATTATTTTTAGTCAAAAGTAATTAATTGATATTAATATTAATTAGCTTTGGTGTACGAGACATCAATGGGGATGTAGCTCAAATGGTAGAGCATTTATACGGCTTATAAAAGGCAGGGGGATCGATACCTCCCATCTCCAAATCCTATTTTTCACCTCCATTTTATCTTGGCGATAATCCTATTTTCGCAGAGAATTTCTGTTACCGGTTTCCCGCAGAAATCCGATAGCATTTTTGTTCAGACGCTCTATGGGCTTCTCCACTTTAACTGGGCTGGGAGGTGGACACTGGTCCACCACTTTTGGAATAATCACTAATTGGGCTTTCCATGAAGAACATCTGTCGCTGGGCTCGAATGTTGTGTAGGCTGATTTTATATTTCTGTAATTACAATAAATTTCGTTTATGTTTTGAGAGGAAATACACATATCTTCTGTATAAAAAAAACTCACTCAGATCGTTTGCACCCCCTTAAAATGATCAAAACAAATAATTCCAACATAAACAATTGAAGACTACTTGCCTGGTTTAATATTGCCAACATAAACATTTTTTCTTCTTTTTTTTGCAAGAACAAAAATATGTCTTCTTATATTGTTCCTCAAAGCACAAAATCATCCCAAGATAGTAGAATTTTCTATTTTGTAACACGGTGTACCTTTTAGCATTATTATTCTATATACATGCAAAAGACTCTTTTTAACATAACATGATAAACATATTTTCTAACCTGAAAGTCTTGCTTGAATGTTTCCAATACAGAAGGCGTACATATTTTATCGTAGGATCAATTTTTTTAAACCTGACAAAATGTATAGAAAATATATTTGTAACTCCAATACCAAACAAACAATACAGTGGTACTCCTATGGTATGAGAGGTTTGCTCACGGCACGTCGCCGGTGGGTGCAGGAAGAAGAAGATTTCGACGCCCCAAATATATGGCTTCCATCCTTTAGAAAAAATGAGATCCTTATACGCTTTATATTTGGGAAGGATGGAATATTTGGTTATAACTTTTTTTGACCCTTACATAGTAAAGATTTTTTTTAACTCACCGGCTGCTGGCAGTTTTTTTTTTCAGATTTGGCTGCTGGCAGCTGACTCATGTGCAGTGGGGACCCACCTGTCAGCCAACAACGAAGGCCAAAGCCCGCCGGACCGAGAACTGGCGGGAAGCGAGGTGGATTTCCCGCGCATTTCCCCCCGAATCTCCCGCGCTCGCCCCCTCTTATTCCCGGCCTCCTCCGATCCCCTCCCCGCCAGACGCCACCACCACCGCCGCCGCCGCCGCCAGAAGAGATCCATCCGTCCGGCCAAGCCGAGAGCAGAGCGGAGCAGGGGAAGGAAACCGGAGAGAGGGCCAGCAGCCATGATGTTCTCGAGCCAGGTCGACGCCTTCTCGCCGTCGCAGTTCACCGCGTCGCAGAACGCCGCCGCCGACTCCACCCCCAACAAGGTCGGCCCTCCTCCCCTCCTCCGTCCCCGCTTTCTTGCGAGCCGGATCCTTGCCGGTTTCCTGATGTAGATCTCTCGGTTGTGCGTCGCAGTTCCGGGGCGCGTCGGGCACGATGCCGCTGACGGTGAAGCAGATCGCGGACGCGCAGCTGGCCGGCACCGGAGAGAAGGGCGCGCCCTTCGTCGTCGACGGCGTCGAGACGGCCAACGTGAGGGCCCACCCGCCTTGCGCTTCTCCTCGGTTGCTTGTTCGTCGGGACTGACGTGGCCTGGGCTGGGGGATCTGCAGGTCAGGCTCGTGGGGATGGTGAGCGGCAAGGCGGAGCGGAACACGGACGTCTCCTTCACCCTCGACGACGGCACCGGCCGCATCGACTTCATCAGATGGTGAGCACATCTCGGCAAATCTCCAACTTTTAATTCAGTTCCAGATGCATCTTTTGTTTGGATTCCATTGCTGGATGTTGGCTGTGGGATTTGTCTAATGCTGCGACTTCAATCTTCACTAATAGATAGAAATACTGTTGGCTGTTGGTACGACAGGGCAAGATTAATTCAGTAATTGAGTTCCAGATGTGGTTTAGGACACAGGTTTAGACCTTTGTGCTCCTGTGGCCATTGCTGGATGTTGGCTGTGGGAAAAGTGCAATTGCTTTACCATCTCTCACTAATTAACCATTTGAGGGAGGGACATTAGTGGAATATATTACTGTGAAATGCTTGATTTATTTTCGAGTCAGTATAATGTTGACTATTGCAACTTTGCAAGTTCATAGACACCACATTTGACTAACTAACTACTGTATTTTGGTGATATGTTACTCTGAAACACTTGATTTTTTTTGTCAGCGCAGCTGGCTTAACATGCTAAATTAGTAAACTTATTTGGTATCTCTGGTTATTTGAGGGATCGCAGGGGGATAAATTACTGTAAACGCTTAAAATTTGCAGTCTGTAGCACCTGACAAGCATAATCTACCAATATACATCACTAAAATACTTTGGCTTTCATCACAATGCAAGCAATTCAATAGTGGGGATCTGCAATTACTTTACCATCTCTGACAAATCAACCATTTGAAAGGCATTGCT